AATCTACAAGAGGCGGTTGTATTTAATCCACCAGAAGACACGGGGGAAACATTCGCCATCTGCTTCGCAAATATTACACCAAGTAGGCAAATTGCTGCTGCTGCTGCTGCTGCTGCTGCTGCTACTGCTGCTGCTACTGTATTCTTATCTTTATTTATTTTATTTATTTTTTTATTTATTTATTTATTTATTTATTTTATTTATTTATTTATTTTATTTATTTTATTTATAGAGGAGACAATAGAAGAATTAAAGATGTTAAGAAGAAAAGACGAAGCAAATAGACATACTATTACCGTCTCTCTTTATGAAGGTTAGTCTCTCCTTATTTATTTATTTATTTATTTATTTAATTTAATTAATTAATTAATTAATTAATTTACTTATTTATTTATTTATTTATTTATTTATTTATTTATTTGTTTTTTTTTCTTTCTTAGGGAGCTTCTCTGATGTATCTGCATTAGAGGCATTCGCAGCCCAATGTGCAGCAGCAAAGAAAGGTAAATAAATTAAATAAATAAATAAATAAATAAATTAGTTAATTAATTTAATTAATTAATTTAATTAATTAACTAGTTAATTTAATTAAATAAATTAATTAAATACATTTATTTTTCTGTGTCTATTTGTGGTGTACAGACACCCCAGGATTTGTATTGATGCAAAAGGCGCCAACAATAGCAAGAATAACAGCAGAAAAACAATTAAAATAAATAAATAAAATAAATAAATAAATAAAATAAATAAAATCAATAAATAAATAAAATGAATAATAATGCCTTGAGGCAATAACTGCAGCGGGCATATCTGTGACCTTGTATGGACAGCAGCAATGCAGCAGCAGCAGCAGCAATCCAGCAGCAGCAGCAGCAGCAATGCAGCAGCAATGCAGCAGCAATGCAGCAACTGTTATAGCTGCTGAGGATGTTGCTGCACTAACGCTTCCTTTGTACTTGTTGCGCTGCTACTGAACAGACAGCGAGCGCTGCAGCAGCAGCATTATCCATAAATGCAGCAGCAGCAGCAGCAGCAGCAATGCAGCAGCAGCAGCGGCAATCAATACACAGCAGGCATGAGAAGAAGGGCTAGTAGTAGTAGTAGTCGTATAGCAGCAGCAGCAGCAGCAGCAGGAGCTGCTGCTGCTGTTGTTGTTGTTATTAAGGAGGCTTATAAAGGAAGAGGGTATTATGTATACATAAGGGGCTCTTTTTTTTTTTTTTACCCTTTGTTTATGTTTATATTTATATTTATGTATATTTATATTTATATATATATTTATATTTATATATATTTATATTTATTTATATTTATATATTTATATATTTAAATATTTAAATATAAAAAAAAAACAATTCTTGTCGCAATAAAAGGAAGAAAACATAATTTGGGGTGTATAGGCAGCTCATGTTGTCTATATATAAATAAATAAATAAATAAAAGGAAGGAGTATATAAATGCAGCAAAAAAGAAAAAAAAAAGTTATTTTTATTTAAATAAACATTTATTTAAATTATTTATTTAAATGTTTAGTATTGTTTATTTATTTATTTATTTATTTATTTTAGTCTTTCTTGTTCTTTTTTTTTAATATTGTTATTTATATACAATTAGGTGTATATACTAGTCAATATATAGGCATATAGATATATAGGCATTATATAAGAAAAAATAAATAAATAGCCTCTTTTTCCTCTCTTATTGGGGGGATTTAGTTAGTAGTTAAAGGCAAGGAAAGAAGGTTATTATAGTAACAATACACAGCAGCAAAGGAGGAGAAGTAAAAGAGGAGTTTGTATGTTATTTATTTTAGTTGCATGCACGCATGCGCATGCATGCACGCATGCAGAATGGAGGGAAAGGGGGGAGTGGGGGGAATATATTTTAAAGCATAAATACACAGTATACGAATTATTATACAAATATTTATTATTTAAATTAAATAATTTAAATATAATTGTTAAAATACTTAATTATTAATGCTAAATAGTTAGAAGAAAAGAAAGATCCTCCAGCTGTAGCGAGCAGCAGCAGCAGCTGCTGCTGCTGTTGTTGCTGTGCTGCATGCATGCAATAAGCCAGGAGGAGTTACAGGGCATTAAAAGGCATCATTTTGCTTGTTTTTGCGATTATAATTATCTTATTATTAAATAAAATTAAATTAAATGATAAATAAAAGGAAATTATATTAAAAATCATTTGCCTGTGAAGAAAATAAGGTGTACAGACACCGCAGATAGTTCTTGCACGACGACGGCATTTCTTTCCTTCAGCAGGAGGAAGAAAATATTGAATAACTGATTTAAATAATTGAATTTTCTTATTTTTTATTCTTTAATTAATTAATTTATATTCTTTTTATTCTTTTTATTGCATTTATTCCCTTAAAGTGTTATATTTTCCTTCCTGTTCCCCCTTTTTTCCTTGCCGTCAAACGGCAGGAAGTTGAATTGAATTGCCGAGGGTTTGGCGGTTATTTCTCCTCCTTTTCTTTTCTTTT